CTCTACAGACATCTTGTTTGCAGAAGCCTATAACAAACTCAACCTAAGGAGAGAAAGACTGCAGCCTATCACGTCACCTCTTATCAAATTCTCTGAGGATAAGGTGTATCCATTGGGATCCATCACCTTGCCAGTCATCGCCGGTGTAGCTCCCCGAAGCTCCACGGTCATGGTGGACTTCTTGGTGATAGACTGCCCTTTAGCCTACAATGTCATTCTAGGGCAACTTGCTCTTAACACCCTAAGAGTTGTGCTCTCCACTTAGCATCTGATCCTCCATTTTCCAACACCAAATAGAATCAGAGAGGTCTGAAGAGAACATGTTGATGTAATAGAATGTCACGTCTCCTCTATGAAGACCAGAAAGCCACAAGAAGCACTGCAAGTGGAACTCCTTGACTTGAGAGATGATGTCACATTGGAAAGAGGAGAACCAATATAAGAGCTCACACTAGTGTTCCTAGATGAGGAGCATCCAGACAAAAGAGTGTACATTGGCTCCTCCCTTCTTTAAGATTTAGCCCGTCAGCTTATAGATTTTTTGAAATATAGTATGAATATTTTCGCATGGTCACATGAAGACCTCGAGGGCATCGACCCTAAGGTCACTACCCACAACCTCAATGTCAACCCTCATTACAAGCCTGTTCGCTAAAAGCTAAGGAGTGTCTCCACTGAAAGGGCGCATGCGATGGATAAAGATGTGGGAAAACTAATGGAAAATGGAGCAATAAGAGAAGTGGCCTATCCTGTGTGACTATTAAATGTGGTGATGGTAACTAAAGCCAACGAAAAGTGTCGCCTCTGCGTCGACTTCACCGAACTCAACAAGGCGTGCCTTAAAGATAGCTACCCGTTGCCACGAATCGACCTCCTCATCGACGCCACTACAGGTAACAAATTGCTCACCTTCCTGGATGCATACTCAGGATATAACCAGATCAACATGCATCCCTTAGACCAAAAGAAGACGTCATTCATCACTCCGAATGGGACCTACTATTACAGGGTCATGCCCTTTGGACTAAAAAATACGGGAGCAACCTACGAATGGCTGGTGAACAAGATGTTCCAATCTCAGATCGAGAGAACAATGGAGGTATACGTAGACGATATGATGGTAAAAAGCCTCATAACAGCAAACCACATAGATCACCTTCAAGAAACCTTCAATATTCTCAAGTCATACCACATGAAGCTAAACCATGAGAAGTGCGCCTTTGGCATCGGATCAGGAAATTTCTTAGGCTACATGGTCAACCAGAGGGGAATTGAGGCGAATCCTAACAAGATCAAAGCCATCCTGGATATGAAATCACCCACCACAACCAAGGACCTCCAGCGCCTCAACGGAAGAATCGTAGCACTTAACAAATTTGTTTCTAAATCTGCAGATAAGTGTTTGCCCTTTTTCAAGATTCTCTTAAAAGCCTTTGAGTGGGGACCTGAGGCAAAAGAAGCTTTTTAAAAGCTCAAAGCTTATTTGGCTATGCCCCTGCTCCTTTCACATGTTACACCAGGTGAAACCTTATACTTGTATCTCTTTGCTTCCCCCATCAACAATAAACTCTATCCTCATCAGGAACAACGAAGGAGTACTAAAACATGTTTATTACGTGAACAGGACATACCGTGGAATGATAAGATATTCAGGGTTAGAAAAGCTAGCGCTCGCCCTGATCTCAACAGCAAGGCATCTCCGACATTACTTCCAAAGTTACACCATCGTCATTGTCACAGACCAGCCTCTATAGAGGATTTTGGGGAAGTCAGACGTCTCTAGAAGAATCCTTCAGCGGGCAATAGAGTTGGGCAAGTTCGATGTCCAATAACAATCAAAGGCAGCCATCAAAGCACAATCCCTAGTAGACTTTGTTGTCGAGCTCACACCAGCGGAGGAGGAGGGCAATAGACCCTCAAAATCTGAAGAAGACTCATCAGAAACTCACCCAGACACTCAGGCGCCAAGGCCTGGTGCCTAAGACAAAATGATGCCCTTGACGTCCACCACGGCCTCCAAGGCCTACTCTTTACTGCCTCCCTAGAAGCTCTACATTGATGGTTCTTCAACCAGAGAAGGAGGTGGAGTAGGCCTAATCCTGACCAGCCCAGACGGCACCCCCATCAAGTATGTTATGAAGCTCCACTTTACAGCCTCTAACAATGAGGCAGAATATGAAGTCCTCTTCTCTGGCTTAAGGTTGGCAATTGAAATGAAAGCTCAACACTTAAAGTGACTCTCAGTTGATAATCAACCAAGTGAAGAGCGAGTTCGAAACAAAAGGAACCAGAATGTAGGAGTACCTTGCTATGGTGCAAGCCTTGCTAACTAAGTTCCACTACTTCCAGATCTATCACATTCCGAGGGAAGATAACATCGTTGTAGATGAACTTGCTAGGCTTGCCTTGTCCTTGAAAGCTCCACTAGGATTAGCATTCATCGATCACCAGTTCGAGCCAAGTAGGCTAGAAGTGGAAGCCATTAGCGTCAACTGCACATCTGCCTAGATAAACTGGATGACTCCAATAAAGGAATACCTTCAGGAGGGTGCATTGCTAGATGACCCCTTGGAAGCCAAGAAGCTCAAGATGAGAGCCTCCAAGCTCACCATCTTGCAGGACATCCTGTTCAAAAAGGGTTACTCTACCATTATTACGTTGTCTCTCCCCAAAGGAAGCTAACTATGTCCTAAGAGAGATCCATAAAGGAGTTTGTGAAAATCACTCTAGAGGGTGCTCCCTTACCCACAAGGCAATCAGGCAGGGTTATTTCTAGCCTAACATGGTGAGGGATGCCCAGAAGTTCACCAAAAAATACAACAAGTGCCAACACTTTGCCATTGTGCCCAGACAGCCACCAAAAGAGCTGACAACTATCACAAATCCATGAGCCTTATCCAAATGGGGCATCAACATCTTAGGCCCTTTGCCTCTAATCAAGGGTAGTTGTCAACTATTTCACAAAGTGGGTGGAGGCCGAATCCTTAGCTAAGATATCAGACACAAAGGTCAAGGATTTCATCTGGAAAAACATAGTCTGCTACCTTGGAGTACCCCATGCCATAGTCAGCGACAATGCCAAGCAATTCAACAACAAGCTCCTGAACTCATTCTACATTGACTGGGAAGCCCTACCATCAGCTTCAAGCTTAGCAATCCTCCCCTAAGCAGTAAGAAGCTTCTTTTGCATAGCCTTATGACTTTGTTTCAACTAGCTAAAATGAATAGCCCTTGAAAAGAGACACATAGTGGTAGTTGAAACTTGAAGAAGACAAAAGAATGTTAGTACCTAAGGAGGGACTAGAGAAAGGGAGAGAGCAACCCTTACCTAAGTCAAACCTTTCAGGANACAATGGTAGTTGAAACCTGAAGAAGACAAAAGAATGTTAGTACCTAAGGAGGGACTAGAGAAAGGGAGAGAGAAACCCTTACCTAAGTCAAACCTTTCAGGACAGTGTCAATGACAGCCTTAGTGCCCCNATAGTGGTAGTTGAAACTTGAAGAAGACAAAAGAATGTTAGTACCTAAGGAGGGACTAGAGAAAGGGAGAGAGCAACCCTTACCTAAGTCAAACCTTTCAGGACAGTGTCAATGACAGCCTTAGTGCCCCAAGTGCTAACCTCACTAATGTCCATTGAAAACACAAACCTCCCAACTCGCTTCTTAACGACTCGCACATCACCCAACATAGAGCTTGTCTGAGCAGGTACTCCTGTAGAAGTTCCTATAGGAGGAGTCGATGAATAGGGGGCAAGAGGTGTGGCCGATAGGGGAGTCTTTAGAGTGACTATCACCTCTGAAGGAGTCCTTGATTGAGGAGGCGCCACTAGAGGGGTCATCTGAAAGGGGCTCACCAAAGCATTGTTGACCCTCACTACCTTAAGAAGATGAGTACTCCTAGTGGAATAATGGGACTCCACCACTATGTTGTCTACTGTAGAAGGATAAAAGTGTTATCCTATGAAAGACTAAGCAAAGAAAGAGAATACAAGGGTATCAGCATACCCTTTCTCTTTAAAGAGGAACCGTTAGTTCTCAAAGAGGTGTAGCAGCAGTAGCACTGCCTATAAGAGAGTCTTTAGCTCCACCTTATTTGAGCATGAGAGCTCCAAAGTCCTTCACGGGGTGAGCCCTCACATCCTGTAACTTCCATCCTTGATCCTTTGAAAGCACTGCAGAGCCTAGAGGGAATGTGATGAGTACACATTTGCACAAAGACAAAGGAAAGAGAATAAGAGTAGGCATACCAATCCTTTTGGGAGTATCCTATCTCACTAGTACCATAGCCCTGTCAACTTCTAAAGCCCATTCTCTGACAACAAAGAAGAAGCGAGCTTTTCAGCTATGACAATTTGAGCATAATCCAGCAATCAACTTTTCTCCCCTCAAAGTGAAGTAATACCAACCACGATTGGGAGTAAGAGTCTCACTCAAAGTATAGGTTGCACAAAAATCTTCAGGAGAAGCATCATCATAATGCACCTTCCTCTATAGTGCAAGGAATCCCAGCATAACTCTTCAACCATTTGGCCCAAGCGCGCTGGCGCAAGTGAAAAGCAAAGAAGAATGCGACAAACGGAATAAGGCTGGGAAACCTCAACTCAGCCTCAAGCACTTCCTCATAAAAAGTAATATCACCAGAGGAGTTATCATAGGCAAGCTCACCCATTTCAGCTCGGCGATATAGTACTGTTGGAAGAATATTACAAGTAGAAACAAGCCAGAGAATGTCAGCGTCAGCATTAGCATTAAGAGTACTAGAAATGGTACTTACTTTGGACCCATCGTCATCAAGAACTACCTTTCTTCGGTGTTTACTGGTGCGTAGATGAACAGATACATTGGCTAGGCCACTTCCAGGAGAACCTTGACAGACATGACTAGGTGAAGTTTCGCCTAAACGAGCCATGTCATCTGCCATTTGCATGGAGTTTTTACCGCCAAAACCACTAGCATTTCTTGACGAATCAACCATCATAGCTCTGTGCCCAAGCTCTAAGGCTCCGTGCGCAGCACCCACTGTGCACGACTGTTCGCATCATGGCCCCAACGTCGGCGCCTAAAGGCTCCGCCGCCTGTGCCTATCACCCAGCGCTCCTCCACCGCAACAAACAAGGCCACCTGGTGTCCATGGCACCTCGCTACCTAGTTGGGTCACCACGCCAACGACGTCCACTTGGGTTGTCTGGCCTTCGGCACCCAGCCAGTCTATTTTGCCAGCGACTCCCACTTGGGTGATCTGGCCTTCGATGCCTAGCTAAGATACCTCGCCAACAGCGCCCACCCGGGTCGCCTGGCTTTCAACTTCTATCTAGGCTACCTCACCATCTTGGGTCTGCCCGCCATCTTGGATCCCTTCCTCTTCGATACCAACTAGCCCCCTACCTCAATGGAGGACGTCTGGGCTCTTGCATCGACATCGGTCACTCCACCTCGCATCCCTTCTCCTTCATTCAACATTTAAGCATTCATCTCAGGGACAAAGTCACAAGCCTCACTCAACTTGCTTGAGTTCTTGAGTATCTCGAAAAGAAATCCTCCCTTAAGATGAATCAAATGAGGAGAAAAGGAAAAACCCCCAATTTATAGCCCAGGGTTTTTCCAAATCCTATACGGAGATAAAAGTGGGGGAGTTTATATAACTAGAAATATCCTACAGGCAAAAGGATTTTATATATCATGAAGGAAAAGAGTCGTAAGTCAAAAAGAGTCTCCAGGAAATCCAAGTCCAAGAAGGGTTGATGTTGTTTTAACCATAACTTTTGATCCGTTTGGATTTATGGGGCCCATAATATATCAAATCGAAACTTACGACTAGCCCTATAAGACTTATTGCCTTTGGCTATGTTGGACACCGTTAAAAGTCCAAAAAAGGCATAGAAATATGTGTTTAGGCCTTCCAAATTTNATGGGGCCCATAATATATCAAATCGAAACTTACGACTAGCCCTATAAGACTTATTGCCTTTGGCTATGTTGAACACCGTTAAAAGTCCAAAAAAGGCATAGAAATATGTGTTTAGGCCTTCCAAATTTTTTTCAATTTGGGGTTTAGCAGAAATCCAGGCTTAACCAAATTTCCTCTTCTCCAAGTTTCATTAGACACAGGACATTGGGGGGTAAATTATGGGTCAGGCCCAACTCATGTTATAAGCCCAGTCTAAATAAAGAGCCCAATTTGAAGAGATCCAATGGGTCCAGCCCAAGGGAGGTCCACACCCAATCAATCTCATCAAGTTTCGAGAAGCCACATCACCAAGGGTGTAAAACCCAGTAAATTTAAACTTTTGTAAACAAGGGCAAAACGGTAATTTTGTCGCTATAGTATGGGTTGAGAACTTAAATTTTTTTAGATCTTGGATGATGAAACAGATCTCACCGTTGGGTTCGTCTCGCGAAATCTAGCTACCACGTCAAATTTTATTGAATTCTGAGATAGTCGAATTTTTTGCGTTTTGCAAGGCGGTCGAGTCTCGGGTGACCCAAAAATGAGATTTTTTAATAAACTTTCAAAATTTAAGAAATAATTAAAGGTAAATTAAAATAAAATTAATTTAAACTTGAATCGGGATGACATTTAATTTTTTTGGGATAAAAATGGACCCAAAAACAAAAGGGTCGTGTGGCACGTTATATGCTTAGTATTCTAAAGTATAAATAGGGGGAAAAATCAGATTTTTCCTCCATTCTTCAGTCGTTCACCCGATAGAGAAGAGAAGAGAGGGAAAGAGAGAAATTTTTTACTTCTCTCTACGATCTAGGAAGCTACGGAGCTCGAATCCACTCGGGACAAGAACCAAAGTTGTTCTCCTCGCCGAGGGCTACACGACCACACCAAAAATGATGAGTTTCACCAAAATTTAAAAAATAAGATTTTGTGAAGGGTTAGATTAGAGCTCGAGTTGAAGTCTTTGAGCTTTCCCAACGTGTTCCTCACGCTTCAAGAGGTAGGGTTCCTTCCTACTTGGGTTTATTTTACAACCTAGGGTGTTATATGAAATGGGTAGATGAATAGTTACTTATATCACTTGTCTACGGTTGTGAAATGGATGGAATTGGGTGATTGGTGAATTGGGTATGTGAATTTGACCCAAATTAAGCAAAATTCCTAGATTGGAATTGGTGGGTTGCAATTATTGCGTAATTCTATGAAAAATGGGTGTTATGAGGGCATGTTATATGTTTTATATTATGCTTTGTGAATGAGGTAAAAATTCTTATGTGATAATATGAATTGTTGCCTTGAAGGTGTTTGCCAAAATGCCTATGTGTGGATTAAGTAGTTATGACATGTTGATGTATAACATGCGTAGAAAATGTGTTGGAAAGAAATGTTAATATGTGCTTATTGAGATATTGACATTGTGATGATTTATGAAATTTATTTGCATATGATATGAATCTCCATGGAACATGTAGATATATGGTTTAAAATTGCTCATATGACATTTATTACAAATGGGTATAATGTTGGAATAGCAATGATGCATTACATTGCATATGCACGTAGACATCGTATTTTATGGGTGTGGGTGCATGGTTGGCATCAAACACTACGTAGGTGGATGATGGGTGGGCTCGAAAAAGTTGGATTGAATATTCGACTGAGTCACATGGTTACATGAAAAAGACTTGGGTCGGGGTAGCAAGAAGGGTTAGACTATCTCTCGGGTGAGNATGGTTACATGAAAAAGACTTGGGTCGGGATAGCAAGAAGGGTTAGACTATCCCTCGGGTGAGAGACCCGGTATTTGGATATGCACTTCCGTTGGTATGAGAGCCTATAAAGTGTGTCGGTGTACGCGGAACCGTTGGTGGAAGTCCATGAATTCCGTGTCGGTTGGGTGACCATTGGTGTAAATCTATAAATACCCACCCCAAGAAAGACTCGGAGATTTTAGTTAGCTATTGGGTGTGTAACACAAATGGCGGGGGCTTGGAGAGCCCGATTTTGATACTCACTGCATAGCATGGGATGAAAGTAGATAGCTGGAGCTAGAAAAGCTCGGTGCTAATACATGTTAGCATGGAAAGTGTTGTGGAGCCCGGAAGGGCTCGGGTAAATTGCATGAATGGACATCATCTCCTTCCATGGCATGGCATGTTAGATTTCAATCTTAACTTGCCTAAATGTTGATTGGAATGGATTTTGGTTGTGTTTTGTTGCATAATACATTGCATATGTACTTAGGTTGGGGAGTAGCCCTTGTAGAAAATACTCTGCTGGGCGTTGGCTCACCCTATACGAGAACACATTTCAGGTGCGGGGTTCGTACCGGTGGAGGACTCACATTCGAGGCCTCAAAGATGAAGAAAAGCCGGAATGTGGCTTTTGTTATGAAGTTTTGTAAAACTTTCGGTTTAATTCCATTTTGACATGTAAATCGTATGGAATGAGTTGTAATAGACTTGTATGAATCATGTATATCGTAGAAAATACCTTTATATATGTTTGGGATGAATTTGGAAGGGTTTTGATTGAATTGGAAATTGAAAACTGATGAAATATGAATTTCTGGACAAAACCTACCGGTTGCAAGCATTAACTACCGGTAGTCAACAGGTAGTACTTGTTCGGCAAGTAATAACTACTGGTAGCTAACAGGTAGTACCTGTACAGCCGACAACAACTACCGGTAGCTAACAGGTAGTACCTGTCCAGCAGACAACAACTACCGGTAGTCAAAAGGTAGTACCTGTCCAGTAGGAAACAGCTACCGGTAGCTTATAAGTAGAACTTCTATCGGTAGCTCTTCCAAAAATCTGAAATTTTAAAATTTCTTTGTCAACCTTTTGAGTTTTGATTTTCTTTAGTTCCAATTATACAAATGGACATTAAATGAGGTGTATTGAGGTATATTGGACCTCCGTTGAATTAAATGATTAAAGGAACACGAGTTACACGTGGGGGTTAAAATCCCGATAAATTGGGGAATTATTGACGTGGTGTCGAGTCGTGCGACAATCACGAGTATTTTGCGAGTTGACAAGTAGTCAACGGGACCCCCGATTTTAGGGGCATCACAAAAGGAGTAAGTAGGATCATCCAAGAGCTTCATCCACACCGCCTTGAAAGAAGTCAACCACCACGTCATCCTTTGACCTAATATTAAGGGGAGCTCCGTAACTACCTCATCCGTTGAAAAGATAACGCTAGCTCCACCAGATTCGCTACTTAGTTATTGAAAAAATGTCTCAATCTGTTGAAAGTCACTATAAATTGTAAGCTCAACCAACATTTGGAAGGCATCGAGCACTCTACTATCACTCTTATCTCTCTCTCATTACTTGTGTCTCCCTGCTCTCCCTACACTCCTCGAAATAATAAAATACGCAGGTCACTCTAACCCTTCATAGTGGATGTAAGTCACGTCGACTAAACCACTCTACATCTTTGTCTCGCTTGAGTTACTTTCTCTCTTTATTTAATTACTCTTTACTGATCACTTAACTGATGGTGCATAGAATTATTTTGTACATCATCAAAACTAATTGCAGAAAAAAAAGATACGAAAGGAAAGGAAACATATTATGGGAAGATGTCTTCTTGCATAATTTGTGCTCTAAAGAAGTAATTTGCTAAATAATTGAGAAAAGAAAAATCACGCTGATTCTGTAACATAGTAATTACTTGATCACTAGTGTTCCTGTTCAGCTTCACCGGTCCAGTAACTCTTGACGGCAACAAGAATCTTCTCCGGATTAAATGGTCCACTTTCATGGTCCATAATGTTGCTCTCCCATCTCATTCCATCTGCAATACTTTTGATCTTCACGAGGACTTCCACCACATCTCTGAATATTACGGTCCCTTCTGGCCGTAGGATTCTATCCATCTCCAGGAGGATGTAGGTAATGTCGCACCTTTAGAGCAATTTAATCTGAGTCAGTCATCCCCAAGCTTAAATATCAATGCCATCAAACACAACCGATGCTTAAGAATTTTACCTGTCCTGATATATACTGAAAACACCACCTGCATGGATGAGATCATATGTTCTTGGATACGTTGAGAATGCCTCGCACCAATCATGGTATACACCAATGAAACCCCGTTCATATATCACACCCAGAGTATCTGGTTCTGACTTGCCAGGGACCACGTTCATTACCCACACTGGATATTTCATCAAGGCTGCTGCGAATCCACCCAAGTAAGCATTCATGTCCATTACATTCCGGTATCGGCCTTGTGGTAAGGACCTAATAATGCGTTTGTAATGTGTCACCCGGTGCTTCCAGATTTCATTATCCTCTCGGAATTTCTCTACAGTGATGCCTGGTATTGAACTGCTGCTTATCCTAGGAGGAATGGAATATGCACGCTCTGGCCATTTCTCTAATGCACCACCTGCGACTTCGTCTGAATTTCTTACCTCTGGAAGGGGGGTGATGCAAGTTTCCATGCGCGTGTACCTGGTTTTAGTGAAAATGGAGCAGAGTTACAATAGCAGTAGAATAATGCAATAAAGTCATATTAGTTCATCATCATATGAAGCACAAACAAACTACCAAGCTGCATCCGCATTGTCCGATTTGCACATATGTGACGTATGATGAGTTGCACTGGTCTTGATGCACTCAATATGATTGGTAGGCTTCTGCCACACTGCAAGGTCACCCCTTTCAATGACTTTCTTCCAGCACAGGCGCTTGGCAACATTCTCAATAGCATCTTGCTCCTGTTTCAAATCTTCTTGGGTTCTTTCCCAACCTCTCCAATAATTCTTCCAGCGGATAGGAGGGCCAGAAAGTATCCAGTATCCACCAGGCCTCAAAACTCTGTCCACTTCAATTAGATACATTCCATCTGTAGAAAATGCGAATATAATTGCAACATGCATAAGTGGATGAAAATGTGGCACAACTAAGTCAAGTTTTCATATATGTACTTTGTGAGGAATGACTTATGTTCTACATTTACAATCATTTTTTTTTCCTTTTGATTAATACTAAAGATTGATGGACACCTTACCATACTCATACCAAGGGATTAGGCAGCGGGAACAGTGCGCCATATCAAATGCCCTTGCTGGGTAAGGAAGTCTCTGCGAAGCCATTATGCCAATCATAGCAGGTACTCCTCTCTCCAACGCAAACCAAACCTGTGCTTCATGCGTATCTCTTGGAGCAAAAGACATAGCCAAGATGTCCCTCTTTATCAGGTAAGCACCCCAACTTGCAACCTTCAAACCAGTAAAAGGTGTTGAAGGCACAATACCGATAAAAATGGAACACCATTAGCAGTTCACAATACCATAAACAAGAGGTTCAACCAAAGGTTACTCAAAAAGAATGAAGAAAATATGCAACACATAGCAGTACACGAAGCTAATTTCAACTTACCCCACAGCCTGTATCAATTGCAGTCCGAATGTTTCCACTTGTAAGAGGGATGAGCTCATTAATGTCATCAATATAAGCATCAGCACCACGTGGGAACATGGTGCCTCCCCCAGGGAATCTGAAGCGATCACCTTCCACTTGGATCCAGTTCTGGACGGCCTTCTCAATGCTGAGCTCTTTATGGGGGATGTTGTCATACCATGCATAGTCTCTGCTCTGAGGCCATTTGAAAGGGGTTCTGTAGTTTGGTGGGGCAGGTATTAGGCAGCGGAGGAGCTCTTGTTGCTTGGGGCAATGCCGCTCTCTATACTTCAACATGTTGCGATCATATTTCCTTGACCTTTGTGGATCTTGGCACGGTGTGTATTCGCTGTAGGACATATTGCATGGGGGAAATTTCTGGGATTCCTCAGAACTGTTGACCACCAACTGATGATGGCTCTCAAAGTCGAGGGGTGTTGATGGCAATGAGGAAGATGACGATGAGTCATGGTTAACCCCATCAGGGGATTCAACATCACAGCCAACTCTCGTATAGACTTCAGATTGGCTGGACGGGGCAGGACTTGTACTTTGCCAAGCTCCCAAAACGTAGAACAAGACGCAGAGGCCACTAACGGCTAGGATCGAAGTGAGCCGCTTCCTTTTTGATTCCAGCTGATGAAGCTTTGGCGATCCACCATACTCTTTCCCCATTTAATCGTGCAAATAGTTCCTCCGAAAAAGTCAGAGCCAAGTGAGGATGATCTGGAAAACAGGAGTGTCTAAAGGGGTCGACAGAATAATAATCCATTTGAAGAGAAAAGATATTTTCTCTTAAGAAAAAGGATACTGTCTAGCAAACAATAAATAATCTGGAGATAGACACTGTGGTCGATTATCTTCCAATGTAAGCGTAAAGGGTTGCAAATGAAGTTTGAGAAACATAACCCAAAAATAGAATCAAATAAAATAGACAAGTTACAAGACACAAATCAGATTCATGTGGATGACGTAAATGAATAGAGATCTGGAAAGTAGGGTGGAGCAATAGAGAAAGGCTATAATATGAAATAATACAAAAAACCCAGAGGTACAGTACAAATCAGTTTGCAATATAGAAAAATTACTGAAAAGGTAAGCAACTCTAACTTATAAACGGGGCAAACTAGATCAAAACTTCCTTGCAACAAATTATAATATAAGTGGGTATATGTATATATATATATGTAAAACTTACTCAGCTAAACAGAATTACACAGATTTTCAAAACATTGCAAACTACAGGAGGAAAACAAAGACAATAAGTTAAGGTTATGTTGCACATTACCAAAACAAAAAAGTTCTGCTATCCAATGTCGTGTATTTCTCTGTCTCAAACTAAAGAGAACAATAACGTATTACGGTACCCTCCTCAAATTCCAAAAGGCAATTTTATAACCAGAAGGTGGAAAAAGTGAGATCATAACTTCAAGAGATCAAATTTTGCCGCTTAAATCACCAACTTGTTCCTGCAAAATCTCCCGTTATTTAGTTTTTTCAAAAAAAAAAAAGGAAAAAAGAAAACAAGTAAAGGAAGAAATTAATCCAGGCTCCCAGGCATCGGCCCAAGGAAGACCAAAACAAATAAAACACACATGTGCACAAAAGGAAATATGAATACTATAACCTATAAGAGTATTTGGGAAAATAAGAAAAAGACAAGGCCTGAAGGTGAAGCTGTTTCTCAACGCTGCCTCCTGGACTCCGCCAATAAAACTTATGTATTACTGCTATAAAGTAAACATATAGAGTAGCTTTTTTAATAACATTCAAACATAAAAGAGAAAAGAACATTCCTTTTTCTTACCAAATAGGAAAAAATGAAAAAGGATAATGTAGAGGCAATCAAGGTTGGCAGAAGAAAAGCAACTAGAAGCAAGGCTATAGAAAAACCTAATAATTAATAGCCACACTTGAGAAAGAGAGAACGTTTGTGGGTTTGACATTTGTTTCCGGTATTTTGGGACATCGTAACAGACATTAGGATATGGTTTTGCTTTTAAGGTTGAAATCGATTTGTTTCCTTCTGTTGTTTAAGTATGTACCCATTTTTCCAATTTTAGATGTCAGAATTTTGAGGTGGGGAGCTAAGAAGTAGGAATGTAGTGTGGATTTGGTCCGAGAGAGAGAGAGACAGAGAAGCTTATAGTGAGGATCAAATGATTTCAGACACTGCGTAAGAAGCGAGCATTTTATCCACGGGGCATAGTAATAAACCGGCAGACCAACCACAAAGAGCTCCCAACCCACATCAAACGAATCTCACTCCTTTTGCTGGAGAGTCTCATAACCTTTTGCTGTATTCTTTACACACACACACACACAAACAATCATCATCTCGACAATTCTTATTGTACATAAACAAAAAATTAAATTAGATTACCCACCTACTGATTTGTTATCGTCTCTCAGAACCTACACATACTTGCCCTTTGGATCAAAATGGTATTCAATTTTTTTAGTTAATAGTTTATTTTTATAAATATTTGTTATTCTAATTCAATTTACTATCTATTGCGAAGGTTACAATTATTAAACGATTTGGAAAATGAACAAAGAGCTTTGTAAAATCTCCTTTTTATCAGGTGCTACTGTTCATTATTATTGTACATCGTAATAAAGTAGATTATTACCTTTGTTCCATTGTTATTAAGTATTACTTGTGTAAAGATTTTTTAGACTCAAGTATGCCAACTTGAAGATATGATTCTGGGTTGGAAAAATTAATCTCAAAAATGAGCCCTTGATAAATTTATTAATAAGAAAAATATAATAAATTCAGGCAAAACATTAATAATGGAACAACTAACCCTTTTACCGGAATGTAAAAATAGTGAAATAGATGTACAAAAAAATAACACCGAGCATAAAAAATTATTAGAAAAAATTGAAATAAATAAAGAAGATGCGATCCTTAGCCAAAAAATAGATTCTATTTCTATAAACATCTATGATCCAGGACAATGGAATAAAATTAATACAAAATTAAGAAATTTATTACTAGAAAGAAGTCTACTTAGAGATAATAGTTTAATTTTTCAACAATATATTGCATCCAAAAATTACCAAATGGAGAAAAATATGATAAAAAATGGTTAGTGTATTCTAAAGATGTTGATAAAGGGTATTGTTTTTGTTGCAAGTTGCTTAATTCTAAATCTAAAGCAAGTCAACTAGCCAATGAATGTACTTAAAATTGGAGAAATCTTAGTACTAAACTTAAAACCCATGAAATAAGTAATGTATATATTACCAATATGAATTCTTGGGTTGATTTAGAAATGTGGTTGTTAAAAGATAAAAAAAATTAATAAAAATGTTCAAGAACAAATTAACAAAAAAAAATATTGGAAAAATGTATTGTTTAGAATCATCCTTGTTGTAAAGACTCTTGCTAAAAATAACCTAGCATTTCGTGGAACAAACAAAAAGATCTATTAAAAAAACAATGGAACTTTTTTAAACTTAACTGAAATTGAAGGGGTTAAACTTCATGATTACACATGACATAATATTAAATGTGCTCACGTGATGTTGACAAGACAAGGCACGTAATGAAGAATCATCTATTAAGCTTTTTAACCAACTCGAGCTAATTAAAGGTTCGGCAATGGCAGAAAAAGTTTGGTTCTCTTTATGACCGAACTCATCAATCTGTTCAGCTAAGTAAGGAAAGAGTTTGGCTTGTACCAAGCCGAGTTCACTAAAGTGTTCGGGAAGGCGATAGAAGAAAATGATTTGTACCAAACCTAGCCCCTAAAATTGTTCGGCAAATATCAAATGTGCTCGGCGTATGACATGTCCGAGCTATTCAAAACGATAGATGGAAAAATAAAAAATCGCCTATAACTTAGACAATCAGATAAACAAATCAATGAAATTATAGATATCAGGAGGAATTGTTGGAGAAATATCAGCATCTTCCCAAACTGAATGACTGAATTAAAGGAGGGTGTGTCATCTTGAATCAAAATCACATAAACCCTAAGGGGATGACCATCTATAAAAAATGGGGAATCCAAGGTGAAAGGTACGCTGAACACTCTTGGTCTTCTTCCATTCGTTTCATTATCTTTACTGACTTAAGCATCGGAGTGCTTTCGATCGAAGCACTTCGATCTTGGACAGTTTGTTCATTTTTTAGGAAGAGGAAGATTGGGAGATCAAGTTCAGAAACCCATCAATATTTCTATTCCAGTAGGAAGTATTCTCGATTTTTTGACTCTTACATATGGCACCGTCTGTGGAAAAATTTCCATCTTTTGCAACAAGAAGCCACAATGTCTAAACTCAGAAGCGTAATTGGATTACCTAGAGGCAGTTTTGCCTTGGGAGACTCTGATCCTGCATCCATCCCACCTGGAAGCAACGTGCAATTTCAGGCAAGAGGAAAAATCACTCCTTGGTAAAGTTGGTTCAGTCCCTGCAGGATAAACATGATGCTCGTGACAAGTTGTTTAAGAAGTCTTATGCCAGGGAAAAAGATCTGATCAAAAAAAATGAAGAACTAAAAACTAGGATAAAAGAGATAACCAGGAAAAAGAAATGTGTGAGGGAAAGCTACTAGGAAAGTCCTGAAAGAAAACCCGATAGATACAAAAGCAACAATAAAGATCGTCACCAGCAGAAGAAACCTTGGGTTCAGAAGGTGATTGCATGAAAACAGTATATTATTGAGGAACTCAACAACCGCTTGAGGAGACCAGAACAGAGGTCGGCTAGGGATCTGGCCAGAAGAGCGACAGGAGAATATGGAGACGGTTCGGAGTCATCTCCATTAACAGTTTGGATTGAAAAGGAATGAATTTCGAGCAAATTCACCGTCCTGAACTTCAGACTATATGACAGAAAGACCGACCCAGCCTCGCACATCAGACATTACAGACAACTAATGACCATTCATCAAAAAAACAAGCCCCTACTCTGTACTATCTTCCCTAGCAGTCTTTGGGAGTCAGCCANTCAGACTATATGACAGAAAGACCGACCCAGCCTCGCACATCAGACATTATAGACAACTAATGACCATTCATCGAAAAAACAAGCCCCTACTCTGTACTATCTTCCCTAGCAGTCTTTGGGAGTCAGCCATGAAGTGGTTTGACAGCCTACCAAAGGGAACGATCGATGGGTGGTCTCAATTAGCTGAACAGTTCACAGCTCGGTTCATAATGAGCAACAAGCAGCCAAAGGATGTTGGAGCACTACTAACTCTAAAAATAAGAATAACGAAAGCCTACGAGAGTATGCTCATCGTTATTGATAAATTATAAATGAGGTTGAAGGGTGCAATCCAGAGATTGCAGTTGCATCCTTCAAGATCGGGTTGTCGNAGCCAAAGCCTACGAGAGTATGCTCATCGTTATTGATAAATTATAAATGAGGTTGAAGGGTGTAATCCAGAGATTGCAGTTGCATCCTTCAAGATCGGGTTGTCGAAGGAGAACCCCCTATATTAGTCGCNAGCAAAAAGATCTATTAAAAAAACAATGGAACTTTTTTAAACTTAATTGAAATTGAAGGGGTTAAACTTCATGATTACACATGACATGATATTAAATGTGCTCACGTGATGTTGACAAGACAAGGCACGTAATGAATAATCATCTATTAAGCTTTTTAACCAACTCGAGCTAATTAAAGGTTCGGCAATGGCAGAAAAAGTTTGGTTCTCT